TGATATAAATATGTTTTTTAAATAAAAAAATTAAAAATAATATTTTTTATAATAAAACAAATAAATAAAAATTTGTTGATATTTAAAATTCTTATTTTTCAACTGATTTATATACTGTATATATATTTTATATTTATAAATTATAAAATTTAAAAAAAAAACATTTTTTTTTTATTTTAAATATTTATTTTAACAAATAATAATAATAAATCAATAAAAATAATTATAAGTAAACTTGTTTCTTATATTTTAAAATGATAAATAACTATAAAATTTTTAATATTTATTTCAAATATAAATAAATATATATTTGTAAAACAAATTTTATTTAAAATATTTTATTTTTTTGTAAATAACTATTAATTTTTTAAATGAAAAGCTTAAATAAATACTAGATTTGTTTAATGATTGTGAAAATTTTGATTGCAAAAAATTTTTATTATTATGTCTTATACAATCAATTGTATACTGTAATTGAAAACTTGATTTAATGAAAAAGAAAAATCATCAAATTAAATAGAATGGATACAAGTATGGTAATATAAATTAGGAATTTACTGATCATACGAGTAATGGTCACACATGATAGTTGCGTGATTTACAACAGATGCCTTTCAGGGATCTCTCATCTCATGTGCATGTCGGTTTTACGTAATGGACTTTTGATCATGGGTCCTGACAATTTGTCGATATTATATTTTTTGGGTGCACCCGTCATAAAAACCGAACGCTAACTGTGTATATGCTGCCTCGCCTAAATAGAAATAAATTACGTAAATGCACTATGTGCCTAAAAATTCCACGGTACTGAAGACGGTGTGACATCAACAGCTCGAGAGTCAATTTTTAATAACTAACCACACTTGAGAGTTTAAGCAGCATAATTACGTAAGAGCACAAATACGAAAATATGAGTAAAAGTTTTGCCCAAGACTCGAGTATTGACACTTTTTTGCTAGAAATAAGAATTTATTCACTATGAATTCGTAACAAAATACATTCTCACATTTTTCGGGGGCTTAAGTGACCCTGGATCAGGATCAGCACCGCATATGGCCTATCCAAGTCGAATATCGGGTTCTTTGCAAGTGTGAGTGAGAGTGCTAGTGACTTCTAAGGTTTTGACGGGATTTAAAAAGAAACCAATTTTGTTTTAACTTTATGCGTCATTATTTGATTGATAACTTCGTAGATAAATCGATATTGTTCACATCATCTCGTCATCATTATACAAGCATTTCAAAAAAGCTAAGATAATTTGTATCACCTCTAAAACCCAAAATTTCCAGGCGAGTACATACAAATAAAGAATTTTCCACTATCTGATATCATATCAACATAAAATAACAGCATGATCGGAAATTTTATTTGAGATCTTAATCAGGACAACACTTTACATTAAATCAATATGCAGTTAACTTATAAAAATAACCCCTTCATTTTTTGTCCTTCCCCGTTGACAATATCCTTAGAGTCATATCTCAACCTGAAAATTTCTTCCCAAAAAGTACTCATTAATCTTGAATTAATTGAGTGAACCCTTTTTTACTCCTACCAAACAAATTCTTTAAAAATCAACTGTTTTTTTAAAAAAAATTATTAACCTTTGTTCAATTTTTTTCCCTTGTAACGTAAAAAAAAAACTTTCGATTCAACCATCCATTCCTTTTTCCCACCCAAGTGGCGTTATATAGAGAGCAATGTCCAGGATGAAAAACGGTATAGGTAAAACTTTTTGCCTCCAAATTAAAAATTCTTTTTTATCCACTACCATAATATTAAATTTATAATTATTGCTTTTTCTTTTTGCAGTGACGATGAAGACTGTATTATCCAATCTTCAACTTTTGCAATACTTGCCAACATTCCAAAAAAACAATATTGATCTGAAAACCTTTTTGACGATGAATGAACAAACTTTGCAATCAATTGGCATCTTAAATGAAACACATCGAAGAATTTTAATAATATACATACGCAAACTTTCTCAACTATTACTCACTACGGCAGTAGCTAATTTGATCGAAGAATTGGATGAACATTTGCTATCACCGATTACCGAAGAAGCTCCTGGTCAACAAGACGGGATTTTGTCGGATGATGTCGACTATCAATCATCTGAGTTCATACTCGATGACAAATCCGACAAATCCGATAAATCCGATAAATCTGCTCTAATAACACCAGATCCTCCACCAGCGTATACTGTCGAACCACAAGAAGTCAATGCACTCCATCAAACAACATCATTAACTTCTAATTGTATCAAGTCAAATAATTTTTTGTTCAACAAAAGACGAAGTCTATCAACAAAAGGTCGTGGCATGAATCTAAATGAAAGCTCAAATCGGCGTCATTCGATGCCGGAATTGCCATCATATTTTGAAGTGATAAAGGAAAAGCGGGCCATGATCCCTGTCAATATAGGCGAAAATGAGGGCGAGGAGGAATTACCTTCTTATTCATGCACCGTGAGTAAAGCTGGTTATCTAATAAAAAAGGACGAGGAAAAAGCTAATGGACAGAGAGCAATCGATAGATCATGGAGGTAATGATCAACGATTTGATTTGCGACATTGTTTCCAAACGAAATCTGATTTGTCACTCACTTATTTTATTCCCGTTCCAGGAAATATTATGTGTACCTGTGGGGTACTTTCGTGAGAATATATAAAAGCGAGCCTCTTGACGTACACGTAAGTAATTATTATTCGAGTTTGAAGATATTATATGAAGGTTAATCGAACTGTGATGTTTTTTTAGCATGTACCACCGATACTTCAGTTCAGCATGGACAAAACTATAGTTAATCTGGCCGTGGACTACACGAAACGACGTAACGTGTTCCGAATCTACCTTCCTACTGGTCACCGATATTTATTCCAAGCAGAGGACCGTGATGATTGCATCTCGTGGATCGAGAATCTACAATCCTCGGCGAACATTTCGTCAACAATAGATGATCGAGAGATGCCAATGTTTATAACCTTACCGGTCAGACGAAGAAGACGTGCAACCATGCCAACATCTTCATCGGAATCGAACTATGATAATAATTCTAATGCGATGGTCACTTCATCGGGGCTAACGTATGAGCATTTTAACGAAATCGCAAGAGAATTGCAACAAGCGCAAGTTACAAATGCGTTACCACAACGACAATTACAATGGTGAAATAAATTTATGAAAAATCGTGACATTTTCGACATCATTCATTCATTATTGTCTTCTACCTATATTCGCACATATTATTTTACAAACATCAAACTTATTTTATTTAATTCATCATTCGTCAACGATTTTTTTACTATGTACAGAATATTATTATTTAGAAATGCAAAGAACATATAAAAATAACAATAGTTGTACAAATTACATATGTTAAATAAATGCGGGGTAATGACGACGAATATGCGCCCACACATTTTCTCGGTTAATTTCGGAATTCCTTCCTGATCGTTTACGTCAATCTATGTAATATTATTTAAGTCTGCATCAAATCCGATTTCTTGACCAGGAAACATTTATAAAATTATGATGCAATTAATTATTAATTTGACAAACCAAAAATCGATTGGCTATTTACATAAAATAGAATTGTTTCTTACGAAGCCTGTGTTATAGCAAAATTAAAACCATGGAACTGTTGATTATTTCAATATTATAATTAAATAAAATAGAATCATTAAACATATCTAATTGTATATTCAAGAAATCAAGTCAACAATAATATTTTAGATTTTAAATCAAAATAAAATCAATTTCTTTAATACGATAATATTATTTAAATTTTTAATATAATAAAATTAACTTAATAATGAATTGACTATTTATTTATTTATTTTTTAATATGTGAATTTGGTTATTATATTTATATAAAATTATTTTATTCATTTCATTATATATTATATATTATTTTTATATTAAATTATTACGTACCGTATTTCAATAAAAACAATAAAATAAAAATTACTTGTCAATAAAATTTATTAAAAAATATGATTTTAAAAAGTTCAAAATTCTGATCTTTTATTTATTTTATTTTATTATATTATTTTATTTATTTTTAAATTTCCTTGTAAAATTATAAATATTGAATTTATTTTATTACATTATTTATCAATTTCATGTGCTGTTTGTAAAAAACATAACGTAGGCATGTAAAAAAAAGAAGAAATGACGTGAGCGTGAAAGCACGGCGTAAAAATCATCGATTTATTACCGTATAGTGCTGATCAAAAATACCTCATTTCTGAATTGTGTAGGTGTATTTTCTCCTTAAGAATTGTAAGACTCTTGGATACTTTTGGTCAGCGCTATAATAATTAATAAATTGTTGTACTGTATATCAAAAATTATAAAATTTTCCGCGTCGAGAATATACTGTATTTATTATCATGAAGTACATGGAAAGGACAAAAGGAAAAACCTAAATTTGTGTTCAATAACTTTTTTTTCCGATTTTTCTGAGTATTAATAGAAATCTAATAGTCGTGGTTAATGTTCTTCGAATAAAATGGTCAAAGAACGTCAAAGAAAAAATTATCATTCTCAGAGCTATCTTCAATATTCAATAGACTTGGATAACAAGTCCATAAAATTATTATTCTCGGGACTATCTTCACTATTTAACAGACTTAAATAGCAAGTCCAGAAAATACCAACGGTACTGAGAAATGGTATTCGATATTTCAGCGACAGAAATCTAAAATTAATAATTTGAGCCAATGGCCAGACCGTGTAATTTGCTTTCAGTGCTGGTATGTAAGACTAAAATAGTTAACCAATAATTAATTTAAAAGGACTTTAAAAAAAAGAAATTTTGACCCATTTTTGAAATTTTGAATTGCGAACCCTACCTCTTCAAACTTATGTTTAATGCTAATAATATCTCTTCTTTCCAATATCCCAATAACCCCGAAGAATAAAAACAACCCGAAGGGTGCAAACACAATTTGATCCACTGCAACTCTTTTAAAAACTGCTTTCATAGTTTGCGATATGATCGGATTATTTGCTTTCGTTTTAGTTTTGATAGAATCGGAAATGGGAGAAACTCCAGTGGGCAAAGGAAATTTTTTATCTAGAAAACTAAACCAAGTATGAAGAACAGGTGCGATCATAAATCCATAGGATGCGAATCTTCCAAGACGTAGAAGATCAAACTTGTTGCTGCTATCAGCTTTGGGAGAAACTTTATCAGGGATTAGATGATTTCGATTTTGTGGTGCAGGAAGAGTTTCGTCGATTTTTTCTATAATTTCATCAGTAGTGGTTTTAGGGGGAGGTTTCCAAAAGTATGATTGTTTTTGACTGGATGAAGATTTAAGTAAGATGATGGACTGTGCTAAAGTATCGGAAGTTGTAGCAAAAATCCCATTTACGCATGCTAAAGTGATCAAAGGATGACTATGATAACTTTTATTGTAAAGAGCAAATAATTTTGACATCCCGGGAAAAAAGAAGGGGTATGACTGCTATCAGAAATTTTTAATAGCAATATGTATTAATATATAAAAAAGAGGTGCCAACATTCCTTATGAAGATTAATGTCCCAAATTTTATCACGATAGAATTCGAGTTAAATATTGTATTTTGCGGTTAGATCCTTTATCATCGATTCTGATAATTCAGATCTTGTGTTATTAAGTTATTTTTAGTTTCTTCTTTTCCTTTGATATTCAAGTTTTATTACAGATTGACTTTTTAAGACTTCAATGTAATTTCTTTATTCCGTATCACTGTTCGTAGTAAAATAAAAATTTTTTTTACTAAATTATTTGACCTTTTTTTCTGAATTGAATAATTTTTTATTTTAAGAATTTTAATAAAAATTATCTGTTACAGTATATGTAATATTTTACACATTAGATTATAAATGCTCTTTATAACACAGTGGGTAGTCAAAAGTCACAGTTCATTACTTTTTTTATAGGAAATTTTCTAGTTCAATTTAAATACTGTAAAACTTTATAATTCACATATCTATAATATATAAGATCATTAATACAATAATAATAAATATATTTGTTTAAACAAAATCTTATGTTTAATACCTATTCACAATATAAAAAAAAAATTATCACATGTTATAAAAATTAACAATATTAAAAAATCTAAACAAAATTTGTACATTTGTTATATATAAAAATTATTATATACTAATGGTTTAATGAAATACAATAGTTATAATTAAAAATTAAATTTTTAATTATTATTTTTATTATAAAAAACTTTGATTTTTTTTTTGTTACAAACGAGTATTAAATTTGAAATATTTTATTAAACTTTTATTTATTATTATTATATTAATAATCTTTTGCATAAAATATATTCATTACAATATACAATTTGCTTATTAAAGTAGTGAATTATTTATAAAATTTTTTTTAACTATTATATAAAAGATATTTTAGTTATATTAGAATTCTTAAATGATAATTGGTTTAAAATTTGGATTAAACTAATTTATTTTTTTTTTATTTTTATTTTTATTTTTTTACTCCAAATCAGACTGCAAGTCTAGGTGTTTATTAATGTGAGTCTTACTTGACAAAAATACATTAATACAATATAGAATAATATTATACTAAAGCTAAACTATGTGATCTTGCAGAACACCTGTCAATAGCCAATGGCCTCTAAGTGTGATTGTGAGGAAATGAAAAAGTTGCTCAATTTTGGAGAACGCTCCTTGTCTTCCTCAATTTCATAGCCAGCCTTCATCCAAGACTGTCATCCCTACACAACCGCTGTGGTCCTATGGAGATAAAAAAATTTTTTATTTTTTATAGAAGAAAAAAGAGGAAAGGAAAGTATTAAAAGTGAAAAGTTTGTATTGGCAAATAAAAACTCCTTGAAGTCAATCTCAAGTCCGACCATCTACAGCTAGGTATCCATTCAATTTTCACCATTTTGTTGCTAACCAAAAACATTTAAGGGCACTTCCAGGAGAGTAATTCTTGAAACTTTACGCTCGAAGACTTCTAACCTTTGGAGAGGGTTGATATATTGTTTGGCAATTTCTCTTCCAGCCAGTTCTCTAAGAAATTATGGCTTCATTCAACCAGTGGATAGTTTTGAGATCCCTTTCTCCAACCATTTTCGGAATAATCAGCAACAAAAGAAGCTTATTACCATGCCTGGAATAAGACCTTTCTTCAACCTTAAGGAGAAACAAAACCAATACAAGAGAGGAGGGGGAAAAGCTTCAAACTTCTTCTTTGCAAAGCAGACGCCTCATCACCTTGCTCTTTCTGATAGAACCAATCATATCATCGAATTTAGTGTTGTGCAAGATGGAACATGTGGGAGTTACGTGTCTTGTTTACATTTCTTGTTATGTGTAGATCAACCAGTCCTAAATTCGAGCC